GTTAAGAATTTAAGAATTGGAAGCAACAATTTGTTCAAGCCAGGGGATTTAATTATTTTTTAAATGAGAACCAAAAGAAACTTTGCAATGGAGACAATTAACAGAGTTCACAATCTTCAAAGACGCTTGAAAGGATTTTCAAAGAAAAAAATGTGAAAATATTATATACAATTAAAGTGTGAGCGTGTGAGGTGAATGTTATTGGACTTTAATTTTCAAATTAGTGAAAGTGTCTGCAATTTGCAATCATGCAAAGCTCACTAGAAATTTAAAGCTAAACAATGATAATATTCACTTTAACACTACCACACCATGGAAGTTAACAAACCTAAGTCCAGGGTCACCACTAACTCCCAAGCGTTCTTAAAAAATATTTGACAAGTACTAACTAGCTGATCAAGAGAATTAGCTCTGATTACAATCTAAAAAACCCATCAAAGTAATTCAAGTTTATTACAAACTTTTGAAGTCCCCAATCCCTCAGTCGGTGGTTCACATTCTAGCAGGAAAAGTAAATCTTTTGTGAGAGAGAGAGGTGGTAGCAGGTAACACAAACAAGTAGCTCCAACACTTGCAAAAGAATATCAACCACAAAACCAGTATCAGTTTCATTTTTTATCAACAAGAAGTGACGCAGAACCAGATGCTAAATTAGAGACTCGGAAGAATCCATGGTAGAAACATTCATGTCCACAAGGTAAGAAATGTGTGGTAAATTGCTAGTTATCCAAAAGCACAGTAAGTTCCTATCTTCTAGAGAGAGAGAGAGAGAGAGAGAAAGAATCTGGTATTAGAGGCCAAACATGAATAGCCCAACCATATGCAAAAAGTAATAAAATTCCAACCCAAAATTAAAATTAAAAAACCCAGAATATAGAAAATCAATTCCTTTAAGAGAATTCTCAGCAAGTGTCCATTATCAAAGTCAAATTTTGATATTACCCACACATCTCAGATGAATAATATAGTCATACATAAATAAAAGAAAAAACAATTTCAATTGCATGGAGAGAGGCTTATCAGCAATTTAACTCGTTGGGGTTTATAGCAAAAATAGCAGAAGAATATTAAATCACTGAATTAGGGTTTGTCATCATAATAAACAGAAAAAATAATAATAACTGACTGATTCGTGGCTTTAATCTCTTCAAACTCTACAATAACGGAGGGCTGCTGTGGGCGTCTTTCTCGTTCTACAACCTCGGTTTTTCACGGGCTCTCTTCTTTGAGAGGAGCTGCTGTGGTTTTTAGATACAAGGGAAGCACGTTTATGACTATAAGGTTGCAACCTTAAACAATTCAATTAAGGTGCACCTCCAATATTTATGTAATTTTGCAGTAAAACATTCCTAGAATTATCTCAAAATCTAGTTATAAAGGATAAATTAGTGGGTTGACGGGCACGTGGAAATGAAATAAACAATGATATGAAAACAATGGAAAAAAGATAAACAAAAACTGAATAACTAAACAAAGCATACACATAAATATGAATTGGCATTGTATACAATGACACCATTTACTTGTTATTCATGGAGATCACAATTACTGACAACCATCCGATGTGAAATCTGATAGCTTGAATTCTCACAAAGTTCGAAAAAATCTCTGTTGAACTTTAAGTTTGGTCAATGAAATAAATGCAGTAACTTAATTTCACATCCAACTATGAGTTTGGACAATGAAATAAATGCAACCACCTAATTTCGTAGCCAATTGTCAAAATTAATTGTGACCACATTGTACCACATGTAAATGGTCTAATTATATACTTTTTCATATATATTATAGAAATAATTTTGTTTTTTGAGTTTGGGTTTTTTATTCGTTACTTTAATTCAAAAAATCAGTGAAAGAAAATAAATATTTTGCATTCTTACCAGATTATACATCCTCTAAGCCCACCAAGATCTTACCCGCGCTACAATATGATGACCTCTCTCTCTCTAATGACTTTGCGCATTGGAAATTTAAAATTAGATAAAACCATGACAAATTATCTAATGAAAACAACAAATTTAACTAAATTGAACCGTTATAATATAACACAACCTGAAAACACGAATGGGGAACCATTACCTCAAAGAAGTTCAAAATCAGGTAAAACATGACGAAACTATATTTTTTTCTTTTTTGAAAAGGAAAGCATGATGAAACTATATTTTATGAGATAATTGTAATAAATTTTTATTCTCAAATTACATGGTATGGTCAAATTTGGAGGTGCGCTTTAATTTGATTGTTTGAAGCACCCTTTAAATAATGGGAAAACTTTATATAGAGTTGAGGCTCTAAACAATCAAAATTGAGCCTACCTCAAAAAGTTTACTAGAAGAGGTTGTTTTGTTGTCCAAATATATTCAAATTGATCATATCGACATCAAGATGCATGGACATGAGAAAAAAATGGATTTCAAGTTTTGAAAATAGTGTATTTTGGAACGATTTTTGGGCAGTCAATTTTCAAAATTTTCAAGTTTTGATAGATTTGTCGATCTACTATATTTTTGAAGTTTTAAACTTTATAAATAAATATGAAAATATATTTGAAGGCTATCACAAAGATTTTCAATATTGAAACCACATTTCTCGATACTATTTGAAGGTAGGCTCTAATTTGATTGCTTAGAGCCTGGGCTCTATACAAACTGCTTAAATAATATATATATATATATATATATATACCATTTTTTGGGTTGGGTCCAGTCGGTCCAGGTATGGGACTCATACTTTCTTTCGGGTTCGGTTGCCACCCTTACCATTTAATGGCTTCATTCAACTTACCCCCACTCCAAATCAACTATTCATTCAACTTACCCCCTCCCCACCTAAAAACAAAAAGGAATCTAAGACAATACTACCCCTCCCTTACCTACGAACCTATTAATACTTTCGCTTTCTCTCTTTACCTATTTATACTATTGCTCTCTCTCTCTCTCTCTTCACAATTTACCCGCTTTTACCTATCCTCTGTCTTTCTCCCTCATTAAAGCTTCCTTTCAAGCCCGAGCTTTCAGCCTATCTCCCTCTCTTTCTCTCTCCCGAAGCAATCAAGCTCTCACCCTATCTCCCTCTCTCTCTCTCTCCCGAAGCAACCGAGCTCTCACCCTATCTCCCTCTCCATCTCTCTCTCTCCCGAAGCAACCGAGCTCTCACCCTATCTAACATTCTATCTTTACGAAGTATCCACCACCTCATATTTCTGCAAAACAGACGGGCTAGTGTTTTATGAGGGGCAGTCCGACAGTTAGGATGCTAGTCCGGTGTTTGTGTACTGTGGTCTGGCAATTAGGAAGGGCAATCCGGTATTTTTATGGAGCAGTCCGGCGTTTCATCTCACTATAACTGCTCCGGTCCGGCGTTATGAGGGTCAGTCCGGTATGTTTAAGGTGCAGTCCGGCGTTTATGTCACTGGAACTACATCGTCTGGCATTCTAAGGGGCAGTCCCGCAGTTAGGGATGCCAGTCTGGCGTTCGTATATTGCGGTCCATCGTTGGGAAAGGGCAATCTGGTGTTTTCATGGGGCAGTCCGACATTTTATCTCACTGAAACTGCCCCGGTCCGGCGTTCTGAGGGTCAGTTCGGCATGTTTAAGGTATAGTCCAACATTTATGTCACTGGAATTGCCTCGGTCCAACGTTCTGAGGGTCAGTCCGACGATTAGGGAGGCTAGTCCGGCGTTCGTTTATTGCGACCCAAGGATTTTTTCTGTTGGAGGGGCGTTTCGGCGTTTTATAAATTCGATCCGGTAATTTTGTTTTATTGGACCCAAAAATAACTTTTTAAAATACGGGAAGGGTATCTTTGTTAAAAAAGTTCACTTTTTGTATTGGGGGGTATTTGTTAGGAAATATAGTTTTTGAGAAAAAATTGTTAAGAAAGCTCAGTGGGGGGTAAGTTCAATGAATAGTTATATTTGGGGAGGTTTATGCAACCTCCCCTTATTTTTTTTTATCTTCTTTGACAAATTCATTGATTTTATAGTTTTCAATTTTCATTATCTTCTTTCAAAGCCTCGAGTTGTTTTACTCACGTACCATTGATTCACTAATTTTCGATTCTTTTGTTACAAATATTTTTTTCTCTTCTCTATTTCATGACTTACCCCCAACAAGAGGAGAGAGAAATGACTCAAGTAGTGTTTTAAAATCCGGGAATCTAGAGCAGGTATTGATAATTTGGACCAAGGATAGGCCAAGACTGAATTGGTTATGAGAAGGTAAGAATACTTTTTGATTAATTTTTTGTTGTTTTCCCTACATTTCCCTTAGGGTTAGCAATGGATCTGGCCAGACATAATCCAAACTTTGGACCTAACAGGTCAGGTGTGGGTTTGGATCCAAAACTTGGGCTCGAATACCATTTAGGTATGGGTCCAGTTGGACCTAACTTGGACCTGAATAGTATGGGTATATGGGGTATTCATAAATGTTGCCAATACGTTTGTTTTTTTTAGGAATTTCCAGTTTTTACATAAAACAGTAAGAAACATGGTAATATGTGGGTATTCATAAATGTTGTGTAATTCTGTAAATATTGCCAATAATATAAGTATATAATGATAAAAACCAGGCAAAAAAAAAAGAAAAGAAACTCATAGTTATAGCCCATGTGTCTCAGTGGATGGCAAAGGATCCAACCAGAGTTGACAGGTAGACCCGACCTCGGGTTTGGGTACCGAAAAATCGAATCCAAGCCCAAAACTTGGATCCAAATACTATTTCTAGGTCCATCCGAACGGCACCCCAAGTCTCCCTAATTCTCCACACGAGAAAACCGTTTTTTTTCTAAAAAAAATTACATATTTTTACTAATGCCAAATCGCAGTGATTGGACCAATCTAGAATGGTGCAATAATTGGATCCATTGGGTGGACAATTAACTCTGCCCATCCGGATTTTGAAACAGCTGGCGCAAAGCATCTCATCAACCAGCTTTAGTTTAAAAAAAAAGATGGCAATTGGATAAACGCGACTGCAGATCCAGTCCACAAAATAAAAAATCACATCCCCACGTGAGATTCCGTTGAAAGAATATTTTTTTATTTTTTATTTTTAATTTTTTTTGTAAGGAAAGGGGGGTGAGCTTACAGTATATTCCGGCGGGAGCACGCTATATGCTTCGCTATAAACAGAGATCATGTTCCTTTGCAACCTCCCGTTGTAGGAAGTGAGAAATGAGCACGGCCGGGAATCCGAAGAAGAGGCCACGGTCAGGAAGCAGCACCCGCCTCTCTTCCCTCCTTTCCGACCCCAACAGCAAGCCCCCCTCCAAATCCGACGACGCCTCCTTGCCGGAAAATAAATTCCGGCAGCTATTACAGGCGGAATCCGGGGGCTTCAACGACGCTCTAACCGCAGATGTCATCCTCCATCTCCTACCTGAAAACCCTAATTTCGATGTGGACAATGAGAACAGCGAATTCGTCGATGACCAACAAGGCCTGGAGCTTTATCTTCACTCGTCTTTTATGCATCGATCGAAGTATTTCTCTGCTTTATTGTCGGATCGATGGAGAGAGAGTTCCTCGGTGAAATCCGGCAGGTTTTTGAAGCTCACTCGGAGAATCCCTTTGAAATCCCTGGAAGATTATGTGATGGTGTTGCGGTTGATGTATTTGAGCGATTTCTATGGAGTCATCAGGGATGCATCAATTGCCCTCTCCTTGCTCCCTATTGCCCTTGAGTTCCTCTTCGATGACTGTGTTAGGGCTTGCGTAAAGTTCCTCGAAGCGGTGCCATGGACTGAAGAGGAAGAAGCCAGGGTTTTAAGCCTAGCCCCCCTCCTACGACATGAAGAATCTGTGGAGCTCCTCACTAGGGTTTCTCCCGAGAAGGTTGATGCTTCTGAGGAGATGCTTCATGGCCTTATCCTCGCAGCCATCCATAGCCACCCTAATGTTGCTACTGTGAAGGCCTTTGTCGCGAAGCTTTTGAGGGATCACTCGTCAAGAGAATCGGTGAGGAGGGTCCTCGACTGTGCTTTCGATACGAGCTTGAAGACAGTGAAGGAGTCACTGGAGGAGTATTCAAGTCCTAATTTGAGGGGTGATCATGAAGAGATCGAGGCGCTGCAGAGGCTCAATTTACATAGTGCAGTTGTTAATGGCAGGCATTTGCTTTGGCTTGTAGAGAGGATGACTGAGTTCAGGGTGGCGGATAGCGCTGTGAAGGAGTGGAGCAATTTGTCGAATTTTGCAGCAGATTTGCAGAGGGCATTCACAGACGACGCTTGGAGGAATATTGCACCGGGACTACCTGCACTCATTCTGAGGTGCACTTGGCGCCTAGGCAATGCAGTGGCGGCAGGATCAATATTGGTTGATCGGCAGGTAGATGTAATTTTTGTTTCTTGATGGTGTAACTTTTCTTTTATTTTCTTTTTCTAGTTGCGTATTATATGTTTAGATAAAATTATCGTTTGTGATGCTTTAGCGTAGCGATCAATTATGCAGGTGGGTGCAATTCTTTTGTTTAGATTGTTCGTATGGAAGTTTTCTCTTGGCTTATGGCTCTTGATTTATTAAGGGGTGAGCTTTCTATGTGTGTCGATACACAAATGATCTACATGTGTCTGCGAATGAGTGACGTTCTTGGCTCGCTTTGAGCCCTTCAATTAAGACCAGACGAATGTGAGTCTTCAGATGCATATAGACTATGTGTTGGTGGAGAGACATAGACAGGTTCCCATTTCTAAAATGATACGCAATGATGCATAGTTTCGACTTATAGATATACTGCTAATGGGTTTTGGAAAACATTGAACCTTTCTGTAGGAAGTTTAAATTAAAGGCTGCATCTGAAGTTCGAACTATCTCCTAACTACTCACGAAAAGGCGGTCTATATCTTCGTGTGCACTATACCAGAAATATGTTACAAATTTTCAATGCCATGGCATTATTGAGAATGTCACGAATTCATTTGACTATTACAGAGATTGGCCTTTACGGCATGTCAGCTAAACCCTGTATCATTTGGTTCAAAAGGAGCAAACTTTCTCTCCTCACATTGTTGGTGGATCGTGATGATACTGTTCTCGCTGTACTCAGGGCATAATTTATTCTTCCCACATGAACAATATTCGTTAGTGAGCAGCAAAGTTTTATAACTCAGGGTTGGAGTAATTTTGTTTATCAAGTGGGGGGTTATTTTTGTGGGAAATAGGAACTTGATGACTGGAATGTTTGCTCAAACATGGCTTCGAGCTGGAGAAGCCTGGAAAAGTATTTCTGTGGTTATCCAAGGACTTGAGATCTTTCCATATTGAGAAATTTATGGTTTTAAAAGGGGATCCATGGCCAATGTGTACTCATTCCTGGCTACCAACTGTAATTGTGTTTCTATTGCTTGACTACGAGATGCCATCTCACTCCGCAAGCCTTTTTTTTTTTTGTAATAATGAAGTTGACATTATATTAATGCGCTTATAATAATTACAAAAACTCAAGAGGAGTGAGTAAAGGCAGCCCACGTATCAGGTGCTCATACATAAAGAAAAAATGAAAAGATTGAGAACTGTCTAAAAAGCAAACTGAGATAGAGCTGCAAAGAGAGCAAGGAGAATGGTGACAGAGCTGCAAAAAGATATTTTAGCTTAGATGCATGATCGGTGAAAACGTTAGAAAGGTAAGACTAAGAAATCGGAGAGAAGGTAAGAGAGTAAAGAGAGAGAGAGAGAGAGAGAGAGAGAGAGAGAGAGAGGTGCATCTCAGGCAAAAAACTATATATTACTAGGTGAAGTTGTAGACGGAATGCTTTGAGCTCCCTGTTTGCCCAGTCGGTCAGCTTCTTGATTTTTCTCCCACGAGGGTTGCAGGAAGGCAACTTGAAAGGGTCTGCAGAGGAAATGAATATAATCAAAAGTACGTAGAAGGTGCCAAGGGGTTCAGAGGATTTGGATGCCCAAGCGATGACATTACAAGAGTCGGCCTCAACGATTAGACTGCTGCAACAGCTGGTTTGGAACCTCTTCAGAGCTTTGAGCAATGCAGTAGCCTTTGCCAATTTGAGCCCCATAGCCAATATGGATGGAGAAGAAAAGAAGGCAATTGCCATTGTAGTCTCTGAAAAGACCTCCAACTCTGCATGTGCCTGGGTTTCCTAAGGAGTAACCATCAATATTGGCCTTAATGATATTCACTCCAATTTTTTGGTCTTAATGGTATTCATTGAAAAATATTGGCCTTAATGGTGCCTTGGGCTGGAGGGGTCCAAGGGGCCGAGCGCAAGGGCTTTCAGACACTCGAATTAGTGATTTGGAGCCAATTGTTTTGGTGAAATCCTCGAGTGGTTTATAAGTTGGAGCCCAGAAGATGGTGAATGTTCTTACCTTTTGCGCTATCGCTATTGATGTACTATTGGTTTCATGGAAGATATAGGAGTTTCGCTCCTAAATAGACCACAAGGTTGCTTGGATGGAGGCTTTCCACAGGAAAATCCCTGCCCTGAGTTTTTTGTTCTCTTTTTTTTTTGTTTGGAGGGGGGCAGTAACCAACTGTAATTGAAGTCCCTTGAATGCTTGCTCTAAACCAGTCGAGCAAAGTGGCAGCGGATGAAAATGGACCACTCCTCTTCCTCACACATATGACACCCATTGCGCAGGTTAAAACCTATTTGTTGGAGCTGATCTATGGTTAGGTTTCTGTGAGAAATAGAAAGGCAAGAGAAAGTTTGAATTTTGGGTGGGAAATAGTTAGCCAAGCTTCGTGATGGCCAGTGGGGGTAAGAGGTTCTTGATGGAGCAAAAATTTAGAGCAAGAGGCCACAGAGAAATTTCCAGAGTGCTGTTTGGGCCCAATGGGTCTATACTCCCCCAACTCCTTTGATGAAGATGGTTGGACAAGTGATTGAGGAGGCTGAGGAAGGAGTCAAATTCATGGTTTTGTAAGGCTCTTCTGAAATAGGAGCCCAGATTTGGTGGGTCTTGTTAGGGTGAAAGTAGCTGGCAATTGTGGCAGGCCATAGGTTTTGAGGAGCAGTGTCCCCAATCCACATGCTTATAGAACATGACTTTAGTACCTGAATTGACTTTTTATATCTGATACATGGCATGAAGCTATCCTTGCAAGAGCATAGGCTTTAAAGAAGGCAGAGAGGGTGGCCAATCTAGAATAATCAGCTAGAAACCCATCCATTTTGTCAGAGTTGTATTTTTGGCTAAGGACACATCGCCAAAGGGAATTTTGGTTGGTGCTAAACCACCACCACCACTCACCCAATAAAGCTTTGTTCGTGAGTATGAGATCCTGAATCCCAAGCCCACCAGAGTGTTTAGGTTGGCAAACTTTGTACCAAACAACGAGGGGAATCTTTTTCTTAGAGAAGTGAGCAAACCAAAGAAAGTTTCTCGTGAGCCTGTTTAGGATGTTGACATTGGAAGCAAGATAATGAAGAGAGACATGGGATAGATGGTATGCCAGAGAAAACATACTTGATAAGGGTGATTCTACCTCCTAGGGAACCCGCCTTTCCAAAAGGCAAGTTTCCTTTGGAAAGTCGCCACTGTAGGGTTCCACATAGCTTTCCTAGGATTCCGAACACAAAGTGAGAGACCGAGGTATTTGGCCTGAAGAGTATCAATATCACATCCAAGCCCATCCACGAGAAGTTGAAAGTGATCAACTTGAACACTGATTCCTAGCAATTTAGATTTGGACGTGTTATTTTCAAACCTAAGGGCAATTTGAAACATGTAAGTAAGGAAAAAGTTTATATAGAGAAGTTTATATAGAGCCAAGGCTGTAAACAATCAAATTTGAGCTTACCTCAAAAACTTCACTAGAAGAGGTCGTTTTGACATGAGAAAAAAATGGATTTCAAGTTTTGGAAATAGTGTATTTTGTAATGTATTTTGGACTGTCAATTTTCAAGATTTTC